TGCAAACACCATGCTCTACCAACTGAGCTACACAGGATTTCAGTGTGGTCTGACTCTGTGTGATCCAGCGGGGTCTAACTCCCTGTGTTCCAGCGGGGTCTAACTCCCTGTGTTCCAGCGGGGTCTAACTCCCTGTGTTCCAGCGGGGTCTACCTCCCTGTGTTCCAGCGGGGTCTAACTCTGTGTGTTCCAGTGGGGTCTAACTCTGTGTTTCAGTGTATGATGGTCTCACCAGCGAACAGCAGGGTGAAGATGATGGTGAGCTGGTAGACGGCGTGACCCAGGATGTTCTTCATCATGGTGCGGGAGATCAGGGGCTTGTTGCGGCCGTACGGCTTCCTCAGCAACAGGGACTCAGTGGGGGGCTCGGTGGCCAGAGCCAGGGATGCCAGGGTGTCCATGATCAGGTTAACCCACAACATCTGCACCGCTTTCAGAGGAGAGTCCTGGAGAGAGGGAGGAAAAGAGGGAGGTAGAGGGGGAGTGGAAGTGTGAGAGAGAGAGAGAGAGAGAGCGGGAGAGAGAGAGGAGGTGTGTGTCGGTGGGTCTTTTTTTCTCTCCATTTCTTATTGAATTTCAAGAAGGATCAAATGGTAAGTGTGTTACCTGTGTGATGCAGGCGCCAGTGAAGGCAACGATGACGGCCACCACGTTGACAGTGAGCTGGAACTGGAGGAACTTGGAGATGCTGTCGTAGACGTTGCGGCCCCACATCACAGCCTTGACGATGCTGGTGAAGTTATCGTCAGTCAGAATGATGTCAGATGCTTCCTTAGCCACATCAGTACCGGCAATACCCTATCAGGAGACAGAGAGGGAGGGGTTACGTTTATAGGGATGACGATGAGGTTGATGATGATGGTAATGGCAGTGATCGTACCCATTGTTTTTATACAGTGATGGAAAAAAGTATTTGATCCCCTGCTGATTTTGTACGTTTGCCCACTGACAAAGACATGAGCAGTCTATAATTTTAATGGTAGGTTTATTTGAACAGTGAGAGACAGAATAACAACAACAAAATCCAGAAAAACGCATGTCAAAAATGTTATAAATTGATTTGCATTTTAAATGAGGGAAATAAGTAATTGACCCCTCTGCAAAACATGACTTAGTACTTGGTGGCAAAACCCTTGTTGGCAATCACAGAGGTCAGACGTTTCTTGTACTTGGCCACCAGGTTTGCACACATCTCAGGAGGGATTTTGTCCCACTCCTCTTTGCAGATATTTTCCAAGTCATTAAGGTTTCGAGCCTGACGTTTGGCAACTCGAACCTTCAGCTCCCTCCACAGATTTTCTATGGGATTAAGGTCTGGAGACTGGCTAGGCCACTCCAGGACCTTAATGTGCTTCTTCTTGAGCCACTCCTTTGTTGCCTTGGCCGTGTGTTTTGGGTCATTGTCATGCTGGAATACCCATCCACGACCCATTTTCAATGCCCTGGTTGAGGGAAGGAGGTTCTCACCCAAGATTTGACGGTACATGACCCCGTCCATCGTCCCTTTGATGCGGTGAAGTTGTCCTGTCCCCTTAGCAGAAAAACACCCCCAAAGCATAATGTTTCCACCTCCATGTTTGACGGTGGGGATGGTGTTCTTGGGGTCATAGGCAGCATTCCTCCTCCTCCAAACACGGCGAGTTGAGTTGATGCCAAAGAGCTCGATTTTGGTCTCATCTGACCACAACACTTTCACCCAGTTCTCCTCTGAATCATTCAGATGTTCATTGGCAAACTTCAGACGGGCCTGTATATGTGCTTTCTTGAGCAGGGGGACCCTGCGGGCGCTGCAGGATTTCAGTCCTTCACGGCGTAGTGTGTTACCTATTGTTTTCTTGGTGCCTATGGTCCCAGCTGCCTTGAGATCATTGACAAGATCCCCCCCCCCCCCGTGTAGTTCTGGGCTGATTCCTCACCGTTCTCATGATCATTCCAACTCCACGAGGTGAGATCTTGCATGGAGCCCCAGGCCGAGGGAGATTGACAGTTATTTTGTGTTTCTTCCATTTGCGAATAATCGCACCAACTGTTGTCACCTTCTCACCAAGATGCTTGGCGATGGTCTTGTAGCCCATTCCAGCCTTGTGTAGGTCTACAATCTTGTCCCTGACATCCTTGGAGAGCTCTTTGGTCTTGGCAATGGTGGAGAGTTTGGAATCTGATTGATTGATTGCTTCTGTGGACAAGTGTATTTTATACAGGTAACAAACTGAAGTTAGGAGCACTCCCTTTAATAGTGTGCTCCTAATCTCAGTATAAAAGACCCCTGGGAGCCAGAAATCTTTCTGATTGAGAGGGGGTCAAATACTTATTTCCCTCATTAAAATGCAAATCAATTTATAACATTTTTTAAATGCGTTTTTCTGGATTTTGTTGTTGATATTCTGTCTCTCACTGTTCAAATAAACCTACCATTAAAATTATAGACTGATCATCTCTTTGTCAGTGGGCAAACATACAAAATCAGCAGGGGATCAAATACTTTTTTCCCTCATTGTATGTTATTACATATTCCCTTTAGGCCTACTAATAATGAATTGCATTTATATTGTGCTTTCGATTAGATCTCAATGGCTTTACAAATGTATGGGGAACTCACCTAATCCACCACCAATGTGTAACACCAATCTACTGTACCCGGCTGATGCATGGCAGCCATTTTGTGCCAGAAGTGACCTCAGTTCGGCAGGCCATCATTAAAAATAAGAATTTGTTCTTAATTGACTTGTCTGGATAAATAAAGGTTAAATAAAAGTTGCAGTCAGTCAGAGACATTGAACCAGCTACATCATTGACAGCTGATGAGTGGTGAGCGGTTCAGCACAAAATGGCTGCCGTGCATCAGCCAGGTGGATGAAGGTGAGTAACCAGTACCCACGGTGTTAAGTGTCAAAGTTTGAGTCCTGGTGAAAAGAACTAGCAAGCAAGCCGTCAGCATTTCATTATATGTTGGTACTTCATTCCACCCCTTTAACATCTGCCCTTTTCTCCTCTCAATCATGCGAGTCAATTAACTTTGGAGAAGAAAGGGAAGGAGACAAAGAAAGGCTATTAAAAATATTTCATCTCTCCGCGACCCTTCGTCTACACAGAACATTTGGGGCAACTAATACCCTGGGCTATATCATTATCCTTTATATTTTCAATCACTGTGCTTTTAATTTTCTTTCTCCTTCCCTCAAAGCTTTGTTTAACTCACTTAGGCCATTTTCCTCATTACATACAAGGACAGTGAGTGTTTCATGAAGATCTATGTGGGACTTTGTAATCTCTCTCTCTCCCTCCTTCTCTCTCCCCCCTCCCCCTCCCCCTCCCCCTGGCTGTGGGGTCTCCCCGTTAGCGTGACACGGGCTCAACGAGGGAGTGTAGTCCACTGTTTGGCGGTCGAACGAGATGGCAGGCAGTCTGAATTAATGTGAAGTGGACTATATTGGGCTGGGATTTAACTGAACCACAGGGGTGACTGCTAATCCAAAACAAGGCTCCTCACAACGACATACTGACACGGGCTGCCAAGCACACAGATAAACACACAGTATAATGGGCAGATACACACAAGCATACGCTTACACATGCACGCTCACACACACACACACACACACACACACACACACACGCACACACACGCACACACACTCTAATTCTGTAACTCACAAACCCAGAGGTCTTTCTACGAAGGGTGCAGTGTGTGTGTGAATGTAGTGGGGCTTGTCTGGTGATAAGCAGATTTATCCAATCGTTACTCCCTCTAATTATTTAATATCCAATTAATGGGGGCACTTGGAGTAAATTGGAGAGTTGCAGGGATGAGGTTTGGGCAAAATTAGCTTTCCATGGCTGTTGTGTAATCGTAAATACTTAATAGGTTCTCTCTAACAATTATTTTCTAAGAAAATAAGAGGGAGGAAAACTGGAAGGAAAGTAGTGACAAGGGAACCATGAAAACAGACCGACATGAATGGAGAGCATTACCATAGCGAATCCGACATCAGCCTTCTTTAGGGCGGGGCCATCGTTAGTTCCGTCGCCCGTCACAGCCACCACCTGTCGTGTCTCGAGGACGGTGCTGTCCATGATACCTGAGGGAGATGAACAAGACCACACCCCTCAGATCTCAGTACACAGGACAGCAGTATACACATTCACTGAGACAGACATCGAGGGAATTGAATTTTGTTGGACGAACATAACTAACTAATGTCGGTCCCCCAATATTTCGAAATGGCCTTTTTCCCATTTCATTTGCTTTTTCAGTGACGGAAATTCTGTGTTTTTTACGGTTAGTCTGCTAGTCAAGAGTCTCCATATTCATGACCCACACCTGGCATTATGCCTCACCTGGCCTGTACCTCTCTCTCCACCACTCCACCACCCCTAACTGAGATGAAACATGCTAGTCTTTGAAGAAAACTGGGTTGGGCTGAGGGGGATGGCAGTGCTAGAGACCCCTGGGTCCGCTGTGTGTGTCGATCACACATGAAAGAGATAACACATTTTTGGAAGGAGGAGGGGAGGAAAAACAAGAAAAGGAGAGATGTGACAGCTTTAACCCACCTTTGACAAGAGTGTGTTTGTCAGTGGGAGAGGAGCGAGCCAGCACACGCAGCTTGGGCCACACCTTGTCCAGACGCTCTTGCTCCACCTAGAGCACAGGAGGACACAGTCAGAGGGACTGAACCTCGAGCAATGAACAACTTAAACAAGTGCATCCCTCTCAATGTTAGTACTACTACATAACTTAGTCCCCAAGCCTGTCTCACCTCTACTATATCATAATAAAAAGTCCCCTTTCAAAATAAAAGTCCTGTGGTGTGTCTCACCTCTCCCTGGTCGTTACGGATCAGCTGGTTGAACTCTTTGCCCTCCAGACACAGGAAGTCCTCGCCCGGCAACAGGATGCCACACTTGGTTGCTATGGCACGGGCAGTGTTGATGTTGTCCCCGGTAACCATGCGCACGGTGATGCCGGCCCTCTGGCACTTGAGGATGGCATTAGGTACCTTTAGGGGAGGGAGGAGAGAGTCATGACTTGAACTTCACTACAAGGACATTGATCAGCCAGTATTCTGTAGTTATATATCCACTTCACAACAATACATTCTTTGGTATAGTACCAGTGTTGATCTTAGGCCAGTCTGTGTAAGGTATGTTTGTATCTGAGTGTATTCTGTATATATATATTCCCCTACACATGTTCCCTACTCCAGTATGCACCAGGGTTAGTCTCAGTATCAGTAAGTGTTGAATGTTATTTTAGTGTCTCTCTCAGCATGACAGTGTGAAGCCTTGACAGCTTTTGCTCATTCGGGCCTGACCTCTCAACCCGCTGTTTATATGAGTCTCTCGCTCTGTGTGTTTGAGTGAGTGTGTATATGTGTCTGTGTGTGTGTGCATGTGTGTGAGCTTGCGTGTGAAGTCCTGTGTAATTATCCACCCTCAGGCATGTAATGAGTCACTTCTCATTAGACCACTCAGATTACTTATTTATAGATCATTAGAAACCCCCCACAGATGTCTGCCTGTCAATCACACCGCTGAACCACAACCAGACACCCCCACCTCCCACCCCCTCTGCCCTCACACAGACCACTAAACATGTTGCTACACTCTTTAAGTAACCCTCCCACACCCCCAAATAACACAGAACCCTAAAGATACAATAGAACCTTGACGCACTATGGTGGAATGATCCCACAATAGCACTGGCAAACCACCTCATACAAACATCCACTCATGCCCTAATGCAGAACAACTCAGGGGCATGATGGATTGATATGATGATAGTTGTAATTAACTACTTTTGTGGGCATACAGGCAAACTTTATGGAAAACAGGACAATAGACATTATAGAACTCATTAGTTAAAAGGTTGTTCTCCCTCCCTCTTATTTCTGAGGCCAGGCTATTATTTGTCACCGGATGTGGGCAAGGTGTCGCCTCTACTGGAGAGTTTTGACAACTGCAAGAGGGACCCACGCATTAAGGACCAGGGTATGTGAACAGTTGGCTAAACCTATGGGTAAAGAGTTTGAGCTTGTTGCCATAGGTTTATGACCCAAAAGACTGAAATGATAGACCATAATTTCTTTGGAGTTACTTTAATGGCCATTATGCCAAATGGCTGACACTGGGCAATTCCAAACATACTATTCCATCTGATGATGTATCAGTTATAGCCTATATAATAAATGGATACTAACCTACACAGAAAACGCTTCATTTATCTATATGTTTAGTCATGTAATAATCCTGAATAGGTATAATGCTAGTAATCATGCAGACTTTTGAAATCAGTGGAATGCCCGGTGGAAGCAGAGAGATTGCCAAATGTGGAGAGACGAAAACAGAACACAGAAGGCTATTGTATAAAACACCTGTCTCTGGATTACATCTTTAAACTAAGGATAACCCTGGCATCCATGATAGAGAGGGAGAAGCGTTCATGCATGTATACGGGTAAGAGTCTAGCTAAATGATCTGTATGATCTGTATAGTAATATTATTCGTATCTCAGAAATCCATTTGCTAGTTATAGCCTAATGTTAGCTAGCTAACATTGAACCTAGTTGGTTAACTTTAGCTACCTGCAGATTCATGTGTGGTGCATGGTAGTATGAGTTGGGATTAATTTATGGTTGATTGTTTAGCTAGCTAGCTACAAGTCTAAACAAAATACTCTACTATGCAAGTAACCATTTCACTGTACCGTTTACACCTTCTGTATCCTGTGCATGTGACAACTAAACTTTGATTCTATTTTATATAGTGTGTTACCAGAGACGGTAATGAAGAACAACATGACCTCCAACAAAGTCAGATTAGGATATAGGCCAAGGACTAGATCAAGTGTATTTTTACTACTACTTCTTACTACAACTTTCACCACTTTTATTCTTGAAATGTTTGGTTGTTTACTACACTACCCTATTCACTCTGTATGTGGACACCTGCTCGCCAAACATCTCATTCCAAAATCATGGGCATTAATATGGAGTTGGTCCCCCCTTTGCTGCTATAACAGCCTCCACTCTTCTGGGATGGCTTTCTACTAGATGTTGGAACATTGCTGCGGGGACTTGCTCCCATTCAGCCACAAGCGCATTAGTGAGTTCGGGCACTGATGACGGGCGATTAGGCCTGGCTAGCAGTCGGCATTCCAATTAATCCCAAAGGTGTTCGATGGAGTTAAGGTCAGGGCTCTGTGAAGGCCACTCAAGTTCTTCCACACCGATCTCCACAAACAATTTCTGTATGGACCTCGCTTTGTGCACAGGGGCATTGTCATGCTGAAACAGGAAAGGGCCTTCCCCAAACTGTTGCCACGAAGTTGGAAGCACAGAATTGTCTAGAATGTCATTGTATGATGTAGCGTTAAGATTTCCCTTCACTGGAACTAAGGGGCCTAGTCCGAACCATGAAAAACAGCCCCAGACCATTATTCCTTCTCCACCAAACTTCACAGTTGGCACTTTGAATGGGGGCAGGTAGCGTTCTCCTGGCATCCGCCAAACCCAGATTCGTCATTTGGACTGCCAGATGCTGACGCGTGATTCGGGTGGTGAGTGTTGCAACCGAGGACAGACGATTTTTACGCGCTACATATCTCTGTGGTCCCGTTCTGTGAGCTTGTGTGGCCTACCACTTTGCGGCTGAACAGTTGTTGCTCCTAGACAATTCTTCTTCACAATAACAGCACTTACAGTTGACCGGGGCAGCTCTAGCAGGGCAGACTTGTTGGAAAGGTGGCATCCAATGACGGTTTCATATTGAAAGTCAGTGAGCTCTTCAGTAAGGCCATTCTACTGCCAATGTTTGTGTATGGAGATTACATGGCTGTGTGCTCGATTCTATACACCTGTCAGCAACGGGTGTGGTTGAAATAGCCGAATCCACTAATTTGAAGGGGAATCCACATACTTTTGTATATACAGTGCATTCGGAAAGCATTCAGACCCCTTGACTTTTTCCACATTTTGTTACGTTACAACCTTTGTTCTAAAATGGATTAGATTAAAACAAATTCCTCATCAATCTACACACAATACCCCATAACAACAAAGTGAAAACAGGTTTAGAAATGTTAGCAAATCTTTTCAAAATTAAAAACAGAAATACCTTATTTACATAAGTATTCAGACCCTTTGCTATGAGACCCGAAATTGAGCTCAGGTGCATTCTGTTTCTATTAATTGATTGGAGTCCAACTGTGGTAAATTCAACTGATTGGACATGATTTGGAAAGGCACACACCTGTTTATATTAGGTCCCACAGTTGACAGTGCATGTCAGAGCAAAAACCAAGCCATGAGGTCGAAGGAATTGTCCATAGAGCTCCGAGACAGGATTGTGTCGAGGCACAGATCTGGGGAAGAGTACCAAAAAATGTCTGCAGCCTTGAAGGTCCCCAAGAACACAGTGGCCTCCATCATTCTTAAATGGAAGAAGTTTGGAACCACCAAGACTCTTCTAGAGCTGGCCGCCCGGCCAAACTGAGCAATCGGGGGAGAAGGGCCTTGTTCAGGAAGGTGACCAAGAACCCGATGGTCACCCTGACAGAGCTCCAGAGTTCCTCTGTGGAGATGGGAGTACCGTCCAGAAGGACAACCATCTCTGCAGCACTCCACCAATCAGGCCTTTATGGTAGAGTGGCCCAGCCAGAGCCCGGACTTGAACCCGATCAAACATCTATGGAGAGACCTGAAAATAGCTGTGCAGCGACGCTCCCCATCCAACCTGACAGAGCTTGAGATGATCTGCAGAGAAGAATGGGAGAAACTCTGCAAATACAGGTGTGCCAAGCTTGTAGCATCATACCCAATAACACTCAAGGCTGTAATCACTGCCAACAGTGCTTTCAACCAAGTACTGAGTAAAGGGTCTGAATACTTATGTAAATGTGATGTTTCAGTTTTTTATTTTTAATAAAATGTCTAAAAACCTGTTTTTGCTTTTTCATTCTGGGGTATTGTGTGTAGATTGATGAGGGAAATAAGAATAAGGCTGTAACGTAACAAAATGTGGAAAAAGTCAAGGGGTCTGAATACTTTCCGAATGCACCTTGTAAGATATACTTGGAAGAGGCTAAATCAAGCTAGTCGGATTGATTACTTTCTGGTGTCCTTTTATATGGTACCAAATGCAAAAAAAGTACGGATTCAGGACTGAATGCGATCAGACCATCAGCTTATAGCCCTCCACAGAGCTATGACAGACTTTCCATGAGGGCGGGGATATTGGAAATGTAACCTTTTCACATGTGAGTTCCAAATATCTCTAAACGGTCGCCCCAGCGTAAGTTGTTTTATGCACGTGATGTCAGAATGCACTCACTGTTCCAAAATGTGATTGTTACGCAACAGGACAGTTAACACGCTCTGCCTGCTAATTATCTATAGGCTATGTTTCAACTTGTCAATTTTCTAACAGTTTGAATTGAGGTGTGTTCCGCCTTCTCATTAATTCACATAGAAGTAGGCCATTTCAGTGTTCCGGACAATTTATGTTTGAGGCTTTACTGAGTCAGACAAACTTCCCTCTTCGAGGAGAGCCCTTCCCCATTTTTTCCGCACACCAAGTATGCAGACATTTGTGCAGTCTGGCACATTTTCTGGCTGGCGCTCGCATTGTTGCATTCTTGTTTTCCTTACAAATAATAACTTTGGACATGTGTACATTCCTATCAAATTAAGTGCCTTATTTTCTGTATATCGTGTTGTCGTTTCTACTGTAGCATATGTATATATGTACAGTCGAAGTCAGAAGTTTACATAAACCTTAGCCAAATACATTTAAACTCATTCACAATTCCTGACATTTAATCCTAGTAAAAATGTCCTGTTTTAGGTCAGTTAGGATCACCACTTTATTCTAAGAATGTGAAATGTCAGAATAATAGTAGAGAGAATGATTTATTTCAGATTGTATTTCTTTCATCACATTCCCAGTGGGTCAGAAATTTACATACACTCAATTAGTATTTGGTACTTTGCCACAACTTTGG